ATTTTGTTTTCATTACTTTTTTTTTTTTTTTTTTGGCAATGGAAACAAATTCTATCCTCAATTGTAAAAAATAAAAATCCCTTTAATGAACAATTTCCATGGAAAACAAAGCCAAATGAACAACAAAAAATCCAAAATTTCAATATTTTTCAGGTGAAAAATAATACCAATCAAACACAATTAATTGACAATTCTCAGTTAAATGAATTCTAGGCAATTTAATTCTCTAAAATTCATTTTTTTTCTACCCAAATTCCATCATTACAATCAAATGGACATGTTTCTCTTTCATTTGTAAGATCTTTTTTAAATTTAGATTAGATTTATCTTAATAAGGATTATGTATAGTGTTTAGGCTACCTGTAGTAAATATCGAGTAGGTCAAATAGGGTCTGTCGAGTCTGCGTATCTAAAATGTAGTCATAAGTGTCACAGCCACCAAAAGGGAGGGTAGCTTCTTGTGTCAAACTAAGTGCTTGCTTGTGATATCTTAAAAATTAATAATTAACATTAACGTATATTGCATCAATTTTTATCAAAATTTGCTTTATTTTTATCAATTTTTTTGTCAAACGATCCCTATATAAATGAAATAATTCAAAAAAAGCTATATATGTGAAGAATTTGTACACGATAATAACAAACAAGAAAAACGCTCCTTGAACTCTTAAGTGAGACGTTGTCTCGCAAATGTATATCATTTAGATGTGATGGGCACTATAGAGTGAAAATAATGTTTAATAAAAATAATATGCTATCAATATATATTTATTTTTTATGAATGCAAATGAAAGTTATGATTTTGGGCTGACTCAAATTCTTGGTACAGTTTGCTGTAACTGGGCTTGTGTTATTTCCGGGTCTTTGGCCCAAGCTGACTGCCTTGTGTTAAAACATGATTTACACTTACACGCCTCTTCTAACTTTTGATCCTGTGATCTGGCCTTTCACTTGGCTAGCCCTCCACCATCTGATTTAGTGGCTTTTGATCTACATGCCTTAAAGCTATTTTGAACGTTTCATTTTGTGGTTACTGTTTTGGTGTGAGATAGTTTTCTGTGTAATTAGGGTTCATCTCTTCTCTCTGCCGGCTTGTAAATCTTAGTGGCTATTCTTTCAATCTCTTTAAAATCTGAGTGATAAGGCAAATATTATATTTGGTGCATAAACTATGAGAGATTTTGTATGTAATTTGTGTGATTTGAGGTTAGAGAAAAAGTGTGAAGAAATCTTTCTTCATACATTTGTAACGGTTCTTGGTGATTTTAGTGGAATTAGAGCAATATCCAAATTTGTGGATGCTTAACGGGTGAGTAGGTCATTTGGCTGAACATCGGGGCTTTTGGGCGAAAAATCTTTGTGTTCTTTTATTTTTCGCGATTTACAGTTTTTATTCATGTTCTTTGCGAACTCTGGGACCAACAAAAGTAAATTTAATACATCTTTTTTAGTCACTAAAAAAGGTACAAGATGTTAATAGCCTATCCAAACGAGGTGAAATTTTGTAATGAAGTTTTATGACATTTTCCAATAATTTTATTTCTTTCCCTTTTCTTTGCCGTCCCTCAAAACCTCACACGTAGATTGACACATACAATGTTTAAA